TTTTTCAGTTTTTCGATTTTTCGGTTAATTAAAAACCAAACCAGTACTTTGACCTCATTCTTGATATGTACAAGAAAAACAGAGGTAATTAGAGGGTGTTATTATAGTAGTGCAAAGAGGGAGGAACTAGGAAGAGAAGGAAGAGAGGAAGAAAAAGAAGAGGGAGAGATGGGACTGATTTGGGTTCAATGTTCGATGGAGTTCAGTGAAGAGATGGTTTGATTCATTTAGTGGCGCTAGGATGAAGATGAACAAAAAGGGGTTAAGTTGTAGCAATGGAGAAGGAAAAAGGAAAGAGGGGAAGAAGAAAGATAAGAAGACAAGGAAGAAGGAGAAGAAGAGGAAAAAAAGAAAGAGAAAGAGAAGTGGGGGCATTGGTGGTCATTCTGCTTGCTTAGTGATGACATTCAAATGAAGAAGATGAACAATGTCCCTCAAGAATTGAATTCAATATAAATGAAAATTTATTTTTATGGGTCCAATAACTTGGGTTAAATTTAAAATAAAAGCTTGTGTTGACGTGTGGGCATAAGGTTGGAAGGTTCAAGAGATGCTAGCTTGATCGATACAACCTTGTTTTGTTATTTTTCTATCCCAAGAGAGGGATAGGAAGATCAGAACTTCTACCACACAACCTTCGAATTTTCATGAATACCTTGACAAAAGGGGGAAGAAGGAAGCCCAAAATGTAATGATAAATTACAAAATAAAATGGAACTTGACTCTCTTTGATTTTGCTTAATGACATGAAAAACCTCCGATTAATGGTTGAAATAAACAGTGAAGATGAGGGTCATCGGTTGAAATAAACAGTGAAGATGATGTAGATTTTTTCAAGTCTTATGTTTTTGAAGAATTGGTGTAGATTTCTTCACTTTGTTCTTTATGCTTGATTGATTATAAGGAGTGGTTTTTTGAGAAGGGCATTTCTTGATAGCTTGATCTCCCTTGAAAGCTCGAATCCAAGTATAGAGTAGATAACTAAGAATTTGTTTTTCTTGTTTCTTCTCTCTTGAACTTGAAGTGAAGTTGGAGTTTATAAGAGCTTATAATTTCTTGCAATTCTTAAGTGGGTTTGTATGAAAATGTAAAGAGAACTTCTTTCTTTCTAGGCATTACTATTTATAACTTGCATTACTATTTATAACTTAGGATTGGGTCTGCCACTTTAACCCACATTGCTAGTCCATCTCATTCGGTAAACTCCTATATTTGCTTCATTATGTAGAAGTTAAGTGGGTTTTCCAAAAGTGATAGGATATGGGCTTAATTATTGGACTTGGTACACTTGCATTCTTGGGCAATAAGTAATTTTTACATGGACTTGGGCTTAAGACTATGGGGGCCCATATTAACCACAAAACTACTACCATATAAACTTTATACGCCCACTTATTTGGCTTAGAAATTCACGCAAGTTTACAAGACCCTTTGAAATTTATTTTCTTTTTTAATTTTGTTGGATTTCCTTGTAGTTTGAGTGGTGGTGGGACTCATATTGGGCTTTGGGGTTTTCTGACATGGGCTTTAGAAATTCCATCGGTGTGTTGACTAATCTTGCCATCCTTTGATATCCTTCGACCCCAAAAGTCCTCTCATATCGTATACTTTGGCACCCGCAATCCTTCTGTGACAAAAGCAGGCCCCTACTCCTACTTGTAGCCCGTCAACTCTAGTAGTTGTCGCTCAAGGTCCCATGCATGTTTAGTTGAAAATACAAGTTCTTTTACCATAGTTAGTTTTGTGAATTAACTACTATATCATCATTCACCTTCTAAGGCTTTTGTGAATTAACTACAATGTGTTCAAATTTAAACAAACTGTTGGTGTCCACGTTGGGTCAGTTTTGTGAATGATTCTCTCGGTGTGAATGGTAAAGGAGTTAGGTCTAAGAAAGCAAAGGCTGGATGCCTAAAAATTAAAAATGATTTGATGGATTAAAACTGATATTTTATAGATCAGAAATTTTATATATAATATGTATATTTTTGAAATAAAGCTGAAATATATATATATATATATATATATAATATCTGAAATATATTATTATATATAATATATATCTAAGTTGGTTCGGGTCGGTTCAGTTTCGGTTTTCACACATGAAAACCAAAACCAAACCGAACCATCGGTTTATATTTTTTTGTAACCCGAAATCGACCGGTGCTGAAGAAAAACCATACCAGCCAACTCGGGTTGGATCGGACCGGATTGGTCGGTTTGGTCTTGTTATGAACAGCCCTACTACTAACTTGAGCACTAGACAACTTCTCCTCGTGGATCCACCTCATGGCCTCTGATCATTACTATGTTCATAGGTCATTTAGAAGATTTTAGCTTATCCAATTCACATTTGTTGCAGTTGGAGTGGTAACAAATACTTGTTAATCGAATCCCATACAGGTTGAATTGTGGGTTACACCTAGGGGGCGTTCCTTTTTTGGATTTTGAGAGGGGGGAAGTTGGTAAGTGGGATTATCAATCCCATTGTCCACTGACCAAGAAACCCATGTTCTTTTTTCAGGTTTATGTGGGGACCAGGGAAAGTTGCCAACACTTGAATGGGACAAAAATGCCCCTTTTAATAATGGATTTGTATGGCTAAAATGGTTATTGGCTTATTTACTTGAGAAATAAAAGAACCTGGGTAAATGCACTTACTTGGGTACTCGGGTAAGTAACTTACTGAAAAAACGAATGGAGCCCTAAAGGAATGTGCGTGTAGTAATAGGGAGGGCAACTTTCTCCACCACGTTAGGTACTCAGCCTTCTCGACCTAATTGACTCCCATCACTATCTCTGTGCCTGATCAGGTATCTGAATTAATCCTCATCCCTATCCCCACCAAAGTAGTCTCCATACCTAGCTCGAGTATCTAACTTTTTCTCTATCCACGTTAGGTACTCGATCTCGGCCTCCTTAACCTAACCAAGTTAGGTATGGAGACTACTTTGGTGGGTATGGAGATGGGGATTAATTTAGATACCTGATCAGGGATACAAATAGGGTTGGAAGTGAAGTCCTTGCCTTGATTGTAATATATGAAATAAATACTTTTAAATATTAATTATATTTTAGTTTAAAATATATATACATGATGATGCGCATTTTGGTAGCTCCCGGTTGGCAGGTGACTTGGATGCCTAGCTGAACAGTTCCTACCTGGAAGGTGACTTGAATGCCTAGCTGAACAGTTCGTAGATAGAAGGTGGCTCGGATGCCTAGCTGTATAGTTTATTAGGGCAACCTGCAAGGAAATAGTGTCAGAGTGCCCGGGTTGCTTTACTCGGGGTGGGCACTCTGATGCTTAAGTCAGCAAGCTAGAGATTTTTGATAGAGCTAAAAGTGAGATAGAGAGTTGTGAGAGCTAAATTGCGCATGTACCTTCTGAGGTTAGAGGTAAGGCCCTTATATAGGCATTGTTTGGCGTGGGCTTCACGCACCATGTCCGAGATCTCCGGGAAGATGTGCCTAACTGATCCTAAGTCATCGGAGGTAGTCGTGCACATAGATCAGTCTTTGTACCTTATTCGGTTTCCTCCGAAACATTTGGTGTGGGAGCTGACTTCCGAGAGACTCGAGAGTGACAAGATGCATGCAGAATTGGTCGGTGAGCACATCTCATAGGTTGCCACCAAGACTTCAATCAGGCCAGCAAGTCCTCGAGGGAGGTCACTCATGTCGAGGTCACTTCGACCGTTACTGATGAGGTACCACAGGTAGGTCCTGGATGAGGTGCTACTAGTCGCCTTGTCGAGGTGCCCAAGTTGTGGACGAAGTCGCTAGATAGGTTTCCACCAAGTTGGCGGTAGAGGCAGGTCGCCAGGTCGGTGAAGGCAGGTCGCCAAGTTGGCGGAGGTAGGTCACCAGGTCGGCGAAGGCAGGTCACCAGGTCGACAGAGGTAGGTCGCCAGGTCGGCGAAGGCAAGTCACCAGGTCGACGGAGGTAGGTCTCCAGGTCGGTAGCCGAGGCAGGTAGGTCACTAGTTGGGACTCCATCATTTTGACTAAGGCAAGTCATTGCCTAGGTGGTGATGTCGGGGTGCCATCCAGCTATTCTGAGATGCCATGTGTCATGATATCGGTGGAGGGCCAAATTTGCCCTCATCAATACATATATCAAATATTTTAAAATGTTTTTTGTAGATATATTCTTTAATAGATTTATATTCATTTTAACTTAGATATTAGTTAAATGTTAAACAAATTTAGATTAATGGATTTTTTTCTTGTTTTAATAATTTTTTTCTAAAATAAACTTTTAATTAAAAATATAGAAAAGAATTGGTTCAGTCTCCATTGGAGATGAGGGACGGGTGTTCGTTTTTTTCTCAATGAGGAAAATGATCCCCATCCCGAAGAGGTCCCATTGCCATTCCTAGCATGTGTAACTGGCTAACTGCATCCATATTCAATCCAGATTTTCTTTGTATCCAAGTTTAGGATGGAGATGCATTACCGGTATGAATCAAATCATGCCCTAATGTGGAGATAATGGTCATTTCCTTGTTCCATCTATTATATGTTAGAAAAGAAAAAAAGCAAACAAGTGGGAGAATATACTATTAACTGAACAAATGGGGAATCTTGCTTAATAGTAGTTATTAGCTTTTTATATATGTAAAATACTATTAACTGAATATTTAACATATTTGACCACATGATGTAATACAGTTTATATTATTATCATATGATGAACAAAGATACCCAAATTCTTCAGTGGTGTCTGCACCATCGTCACATGTGATGTGAGATGTGGAAGCTGAAATGAATTTGTTTTATTTCAATCTGGAAAAGTACGAACAAGTTCATTGTAAAATCTCCACGTGAATGCGTATAATGTAATGGGCCTAGTTTTTAGTAACAACAGGCCCAGTCCTACAAGGATTACAGGCTCACCGCTCATGTCCAGTACGAAGCATTACTTCAAGCCCAAGTACATTATCTAGGTTTCGATTGGTGACTGGTGATTGGTCAACTGGAGTTTCAAGTTTCAATTTCCCCACGCTTTCCAACCATCAAATCTAAAGCCTTCAGCTTTGCCTAAGCGTTTCTCTTTTCCATTCTCTTTTCACCCTTGAAATCGTTTTACTTTCTTCATACCCCCGCTATCCCCAAACCACCAAACCTTCTCGGACTCGCAAATTCCAGCCAGGAAACTTGGTTTTCTGGCCATCTATCCAACATGGGTTCTCCGGAAAACTCTAATTGGCTTTATGAATACGGCTTGATGGACGATATTACTGTTCCTGGCGGAGACTATACAGCGCCTGCGACTGGGTTCCAGTGGAATTCGCAGCCGTTGAATGGTTCAACTAATGTCAAGTACGTGAAGTTTTGAGATGTTTTCCCTCCGATTTTGGTCGGTGATGCTCCTAATGGTCTTACACGTTTACTGTTTTCTTCCTTTCTGATTCTCTGATTTCCATTTCGCATTTGTGAATTGCTATGTTATGTTAATTGGACTACTCAATCCCTTACTGAAATTTCAAAGTCGTTGATGTGTGAAATGAGTGAAATACTGAAATCAAGAAGCAATTAAAAAGCGGAGGTGGTTCTCCGTAGAAGTTTTGCTTTTTATTTCTTTCCTATTTTCTTTTAATAGTGTCTTCAGTTTAGAAGGGATTCTTGTCAATTTCTCTATAATAGATTGGGATTTTCGGACATGGTAGGATGTGAAATTTGAATGTTTGAAATTGGAGTGGGGAAATGATAATTAAAAGAGAAAAACCTATTTTCTTGCATAATTCTTTTTTTTTATATATATTTCTTTGGTTTGGTTAGCTGCTTGAGAGTTTTCGTTTCCAACTAGTACATTTTTATTTTATTTTGGTATTGGGAAATTATTTATTATAGAGGCATATGCTTTTATGTAATTGTAACATTGCAAATAATTCCTTTTTATTGCGATTCAAAATTCCAAACAAATTAGAAAAACAATTAAGATATGAAAGAGGAGAAAGTCATCCGAAAACATGGATCAACAAGGTTCAAAGTTAAGGGGGAAAGTGGAATCTTTGTTTGCTGAGAAACCTTCCTGTACAAGCAGCCTCTAGAAACTCCCAGCTTTGCTTGGTCATCCTTCAAATCATTTGATTTCCTTGTTGTTACAATCCATTTGTCTCATGTTGTAGTATGGGATGCTGTTGTGGGTATATATGTGCTTGGGTTCCCTCCCTCTAACAGCTAGCTTTTAGGGGTGAGTTCTCCTAAGGCACATAACAAATGGTATCAGAGCCTACACTATGCCTCCCAGTTGCAATCGTGCGGCGCAGGTGGTGATGTTGGTATTGCAGTGTTCGGCTAGGACTAGGTGGGTAGTGCAAAGCCAGCTTGCGTGGGCGCCGGGACTGCGGAGCGTGGTGGAATGTTACGATCCATTTGTCTCATATTGGTAGTATGGGATGCTAATGTGAGGTATCCCACATTGGTAGTATGGGATGCTGTTGTGGGTATATATGTGCTTGGGTTCCCTCCCTCTAACAACTAGCTTTTAAGGGTGAGTTCTCCTAAGGCCCATAACACTCGTCAAATAAGGAACCAAGATGGTAACCTATTTTGCAGAGCTTATATAACAGAAGCACAGTGATGTTAGACATATAGGAAAGCATTGAATTATCTTTTAACCCCACTTCTTCCACTAATGCCATTGCTGGAATTGTCTTTTCTACTGGATATGTTCTGTTCCTCCACACATTTTAAATCCTGGAGTGGATCAATCACCTGTACTTTCTTGGAATTACCAATTCTTCTGGCCTTGAGAAATAAGAAATGCCTCACTTGCATCTCTAGTATCTCTACATAAATTTAAAGTGAGCACCTAACAGAATTGAGCTTGACTGAGTCGCCCCCAAAGAGCAATATGGTACTAAGAAGACTATGCAGTGAAATGATGATATCTTGAGATGACACTAATATTGATTGGTATATTTTAGTAGCTAAATTGAAGAGGTTGTTAGTCATGGGCTATCGTGGGGTTCATCAAGTGAGAATGTGCGTCTTGAGCATTGTATGATTAGTGCATACTAATTAGGTTCTAAGAAAAAAAGCTATAGGACAGTTATACAACCAGCAATACTATGGTGCATAGTGTTGTGCAATAAAAAAAGCAACATAAACATGTCCATAAACCGAACAGAGAAAAGATGAGGATGTTGAGATGGACGAGTGGTAAGATCAAGAAAGAAGTAGAAGTGAGTCTGTTCTTTGAGAAAATGAGGGGAAAGTATATTAAGATAGTATTGCCTATTTACTGCATTGATAAGAAAGACTTACCCTGTTCAAGTTGGAAGTGCATTGATAAGAGAAGAAGCAACCAAATCTTAGGGTGGAAAGGCATAATAGGGCATGCTTGCTGACTCCACATGGTTGAATAAGGTTTTGTCAAGTTGAGTATCATATGAGAACATGGAACCTTGACATCAATGGTCCATGGGAGGTGAACACATATTTCTCAGATTTCTTCTTATCCTCTTTAACCAACTAGTTGAAAGAATAAATTTAATTGGCTAAAGGGACCTGCAATCCGTTGGGGAGAAAACATGTATAATTTCTTATGGAAATATACATGCACAAGCTATAAGCTTTAGGAAGTGGCCCCAACTCCCGATGACATTGACAAAAGGAAGAAAGTTTCAAGCACAAAACACAACCATGAGAATAAAAGGCCCAAATCTCTCTCTCTCTCTCTCGCTCTCTCTCTCTTTTTAAAAGAACACACCAATTTTGTTGATCCCATGGAAAATTGTTATTGGTAACAAAATTCCTTACTTTAGAAGGAAGTAGAGGTGCTTGGTTATTGCTGAGGGGAAACGAAACTGGTATGTTTGAAGGACTAGTGATGATTTTGCATAATATGGAAGAGAAGAAACCATCATATTGGGTTTAGTTTAGATGAAAATACCTGCTTAATTTCTGTTTAATTTTTCTAAGTTCTATTGGATTTGGATATTATTTTTCATCATGCCACATATGCGATTTTAGTATGGGTCTGTAGGAATTGGGATGCATTGTGTCTGAATTTGCAATCCCAATGATTGATTAGCAAATGTTCTGCAAGAATCTAATCTATCTACAATGGGCAGGTCTGAAATTGAATTGCTATTGCTGTCCCATAATCTATTGCATAATGTGCTATGATTTTCTGTCACAGAATGTATAGATATGTGACCTGGTCTCAGAAATTATGCATGTCATATGCATTCAAGAGAGAAAATGAAACAAATATCACATTCCTTCCATTTGGAAGTTTCTAGGATTTCAAATAGTTGGCTGGAGTTCCCATCCAACAACCATTAGTCAGTTTGATACTGGGTTTAGTTTCACAGGTTAAATATCTGATTGGCGGTTAAAAGGGAAATTTGTTCTATAGCCACATTTGGGTTTCATTATGGTGCTATTTTTTTATGAGTATATTTCCAGAAGGTTATTCCCAAGAATTTAACTGATAGGGAGTCCCGCTAGGAATTATGATTAGCATTGGACAATTTTACTGGTTATTTTTGTAGAAATGGGGGGGGGGGGAGGTAGATAAAGGCAAGAATGATGGGATGATAACAATAATAACATAACCGAGTAATTATCAACTCCTAGAAGTTTTTTTAACCTTATAAATAAAAAAACTCCTAGAGGTTTTATGTGGGGTATTTTCTTTGGTATATTGAAGGCTAGGCGATGAGAACCTTTCTTGGTTTTCTTGTCATATATTTAGGATTAGTTCTCTTTGATTCTTCGAAGCCTTGTATCAGGAAATCTAAATATGCTTGTGTTTTTTGTTTGTGAACTGCCATGAGGATGTAACTTTGAGATAAAGTCCAGTTGAAAGTGCTTCTAATTTCTATGCTTTCAACTCATGACAACTTGGCATAAAAAAGCTGATGAAAGTAGCCCTGAGCTCTGCCTATTGGCATAAAAAAGCTGATGCTAGCAGGTTGCAGTCCCAGGTGCCTTCCAAAAGACTGGTATTGGAATCTTCTTTCAGACATTACTCTCATGTTGTTTCTTGCATATGCTTTTATTGAGACTCCACGGAATTCCTTAAACATTATGACCACAAATTTAGAAAGGATGGGGCCCTGTTTCCTTCTTTAGTATATAGAAGAGTTTCATTTGTTTTTTCACTAGAAGTGCACCCCTTTTTTAACAACAGAAGGTGTGTCCGGGTTGCTACCCATGCTAAAATCCTCCAAATCAGTGTTTGTGATGAAGCATGTAGTTAAGGTGGCTAGGTGATGCCTAGGTGTTTTAGCCAGGTAAGGTGAGTTGTTGCCTGGGCAACAAATAGCCATCACTTTGGCAATAATAAATAAATATAAGCATTTTATAATGCATGTATATGCAATAAATTAATTGGTAAATGATTAATTAAGCATTTTATTTTGGAAATAATTACAAGATCTTGAAGAACCTCCCAGGTTCAGAGGAAAATACACATAAGCATATAAACCCTAATTTTTTTCTCTACATATGCTGCTATATATATTACTGTCTGTCTGGTTTTGCCTAGGCGATGCTTTATTCTGAATCCCTGAGTGTCAAAGGTAATTGTTTTGTTTTGAGGTAATAAGTAACATGGTAAGCATTTATTGGGAACTATTTCTTTCCTGTCAAGTAAAAAGGAAGAAAAATAAGATTCTAGCTTCCTGAATCCTATCTTTAGTTTCACCAGGTGTTTGTATTTTTCCTCTTAAGTAGTTTATTTACACCAAGGATACTTAGTTCATGGATGATACCAAAATATTGCCTGTCCTTTTGTGCTTTATTTGTGATGCTCTATATATAGAACAAAATTTTTCTCCTTTCCCTCTTATGACAAAAGACCTATCTGTTTTCAGTGTTGAAATTGATTGTTCCTTTGGGGATTCAGATGGATTTAAGGAAGTAGGCTCACGAAAGCGGTAAGTAGCTTCTTAATTTGCAAGTTAGGAAAACAAGGTACTTTGCTCCATTACAATACTTTGGTTTTTTCATTACTTATCAAAAGGAAAAATACTTTTGGATTTTTCATAATTTCTGGTTGGATGAGGTTCTATTTGCTTTTAGGCTTCATCTGCAAGTATATTATTTTCCCCGAGTGTGTTGGTTATGATATCTAATTTATATTGAATACCTATTTCAGAGTGAGGACAGAATCATGCAGTGCAGTTGGCTCTAAAGCATGTAGGGAGAAAATGCGGAGGGATAGGCTGAATGACAGGCA